AATTAGCCATGCATAAGATTGTGTGTGTGTGTGTGTGTGTGTGTGTGTGTGTGTGTGTGTGTGTGTGTGTGTGTGTGTGTGTGTGTGTGTGTGTGCCTGTGTGTGTGCCTGTGTGTGTTCGTGCGTGCATGTGCTTATGTGTGAGGGAGAGAGAGAGACTCATACACAGAAGAGGTTGGGAGCAGACTGAGCTAAGACGAGAAAAATGAAAAGTGGAATTCCATCAGGAAGTCGATTTGTTTTTCTCTTATTGCAGTGGAACATCCATTTCCTATCAGAAGGTTTTTCTCAAACAGGGAGAGCAAGGTAATTGAATTCCCCTCACATCAGGGGGGAGCAGCCATGGTTGTGATTACCAGTAATAACAGATTCATAGCATATTGCTTTCCTACCCCTTTGTATCGATTCAGCTCATCTGTAGGAACACAACTCTGCATGAACTGTGATTCAAAACTCAATACTTGTTTCACACTTGCAGGTAGAATGCACAACGTCCGAGCTGAAGGGTGTTTGCATCCACATACACACACAATTACTAACACACGTGCAAACATAGATATGTGCACAATAAATTCAAGATTCAGTGCTCATATAAAGAGAGCACGCTGAGCATCCTCCCTAAACACAAAGAGCCATATGGATTTATCATAATTCAGGTTGTGACAGAGAGAGGTAGGAGCAGCAGCCAGATAATCACAGTGGGATTAGACACACTTCACAGACAACAACTCAGAACAAGTGCCATCGTTCTCCTAATGGACATTTTTATCTACTTTTAGGAGTCAGATGTAGAACCAGTCGTGCATTTACATTTCAATTCAATGTCTCATCATGAGTATATTAACAATCTGCTGAATCAAACATCCTGTCACAGGTTTTTCTAGGATGAATTACCAAACTGATGTGAAAAGTAACACAATGTTTATTGTCTTATTAAAAAATGTGTACAAATAGCACAGCTCTTCACACATCACTGCGGCCATTGCATAAAAAAATACCTGTTTATAGCAGCTGCATGAGGTATATAGAGAATGACTTTGCTTACACAGGGGTTGTTTGCATTAGTGGGAATGGCTCCAAATGCAGGTCCAGTTGTGTTATGTTAACAGACAGGAAGTGGATTACCGCCTGTAAATTCTCACACAAAGCCGCCCTTCAAATAATGCAGGTTTTAACAATAGTGGTCTGTGCAAACAAATAAAAGCTAGTGTTAAATAAAGTGAGGGGGAAAACAAGATTACTTGGACTGTGGCCTCACTTTGCAAATTCAGAATAATCTACGTTTCCACAGGAACATTTACACTGATCAGCTACAACATTAACACCAGTCAATGTTTAAATTTGTTTTCATGCTGATCTGTGTGTTTTTGACTTAGTGAAGCCACCAAGTGACACTATAAGTTTTAAATCACTCAGATCAGAATGAACTCTTCAAAACAGGCTACAGTTGTACACCAATGTGTCCAAATAATAAAATAATAAACCGGTTTTAAAGTGCTGGTTGATGGGTTATCATAGTATGTTGTTTAAATAGTAATACTGTTGTCATACACTGTATAAAAACAAATTTTGCATTGAATAACTGATTTTTGCATTTCAAAATAAAAGCCCATCCAGTAAATGGGAGGAATTATGCTCCTGAGACCCTGGAGAGGTTTTGTTTTGAAATATTGAGTTTTCTTTCACAGTAGCAATACGCAACCTACTAATATTAGATAGTATATTATATATTAATACAGCAGACATTTTTAAAAAGAATGAAGGATTATCTGTTTCACATAAAACCCTTAATCTGTTTTTAGTTGAGATGAGTAACGCAGTAAATTCACCATCAGTATTTGAAAGGGTACAAAATACCATCTCAGCAGGACACGGCTGAAAGTCTCCAAATGTGTGAGACTTTGTGTTTGTGTGTTTATTCCCACAGGATGTGGTGGTGGTCGGAGAGGAAAACTTCACCACCCCCTGCTACGTGCAGATGGACTCAGAGGCATGTCACATCTTAACAGAGACACTGGGGACTTACTGCCTGGTGGGCCAATCAATTGGCAAGGCGGCAGCCAAGAGGCTCAAACTGGCTGTTTTTGGACCCGTCTCGTGCACAACGCTGGACTATCACATCAGGGTGTACTGTCTGGACGACACACAGGATGCACTCAAGGTAAAGTATTGAAACTGAGTGACTCATGATCATTCATTGGTTGAACAGCTTCCATTAACTTTGTGCACACAACTATGGCCGTAATCTGCGGAATGTATCTATAGTACGGTAATAGGTGTGTGTACTTTGTTGTGTTCTTTAGTCCTTAGTGAGATTTAGTTCTCTCATGGTACACCAATACTAAAACTCCCCCTTGCTAATTTCCATTTGAAATAAAATGGAAAGCTTGAATAGAAATCTTTGTAGAGTTGCATCAAGTCTTCTGGAAATCATCTGAGAAGCAGTGAACACAGGATCAGGCAATGTCACAACGGCGATGCTTCAGAATTTAAACAGATTCAAAACTCTGGAGGGATCATCTGATAGGGAGAGATTAACTCTGGGAGTTTATGCACGTAATGATAAGTCAAGTGTTAGCGTTGCACGCAGCCACTCGCACAAACATACACGCGCAACCAACTTTTACCATTTCAAACAAGCGATTGTGGCTTGAAAACAAAGTTAAGAGGTGGACTTTTAATGATAGAGTCCTTGTGTTGTGTAATTGATCGGCTGACGATTCAAAGGGGAAGTCTCTGCTGTATATCTACAGTAGAGCTGCTGCTGCGTAGGTAGATGATGGGAAGCAGGCATTGATTATTTTGAAAAGGTTGTAGAAGGCATCAGAAGATGCACTGATGATTTATTCATCTATCAGAAAATATGTGTGTGTGTGTGTTGATTTTCCTCTAACTGCACTTCATGAGCCTATAAATATGTTGATATAATCATTATGTATGCTGCTGTATCCATAGAGCACAGATACTTTCTTTCTGCTCTCTTGGTTTGGAGGCTGAGTTATAGTCAAAAGTCAATTTAAACAGAATGAGCCAAAATCCCAACAGTAGCTGTGTGTGGTTAATGTTTTAGTGAAACAACTGCAGCACAACAAAGTGGAATAAAGTTCTTCCTTTAATTCACATAATAGGCAGAGATATCAAATGGACACCATCAATTTTACATGAACTGATTTTTACTGATGGTGAAAACTAAAGCCCAGTCCACACTAATGTGTATATTCTTTCAAAGGCCACTTTTTGTTTGCTTCTTTTCTTCTCAAAATATCTGCAGTGACAAGGCACACGATATTAAATTAAAACCAAAACCTTGAATTACTGCAGTTCTTCTTTCTAAGTAAGTCGGTAGTTGCAGGATTCTTAAAAACTAGTTGGCTACATGAGGAAAAGTACTCTGATTGTTGTCTTGACATCTCAGCAAAGGTAGAGAAGGTAATTTGTATAATTTTCATATAAGTAATAAGATGCATTGAGGTCGTCTTCTAAAGTAAGTGGAAGATATTTAATTTTACTGTCTCACATTCAAGTTATGCTTCATTTCCCACTTTTCACGACAGCAGCACTTTGATCTCTCCCCAGCTTAGTGTGGTGAGCAGAGCTAAGCTTTGCTTAAAGCCAGGGAATACACCTACTGAGATGTGTGATGATATCTCAATGAAAACCTTTGTGCTTCAAGTGTTTCATGGTGCTGTGTACTTCAAAGCAACATTCAAGAATTCAAGAAGACGGCCCGTCTGCAGTAATTACGAGATAAATGAAAGGCTCTCCGCAGTCTCTAATGCTGAAGAACAAATGTTTCAGTGGGCAAGATTAAGGTGAAAGAAAACTTTTAGATTTGAAGGAGTTTTTCTCGTGGGGTTTTTTTGTGTAGGAGGTTCTTCAGATGGAGACCCAGATGGGAGGGAAGCTCCTGGACGAGCCAAAGACTCTGAACTTTAAAGACAGCACACACAACCTGAGACTGTCCATCCACGATGTGCCTCACACACAGTGGAAGAGCAAGCTCATCGCAAAGTATCAGGTGAGACGGACGCAGACACACACATAGAGACATTTTAGTAAGAAGATACCATAAACACAGTGTAACAGTGAACTTCATATCATACTATAAAAGTTTTTAAAAGTAGCCAAATAAGGTTCCACTCTGGTAAAGAGTTGTGTGAATGTTTTCGTCACTAGGAGCATGCCTCAGGAGTAAAAACACAAACTAAATTCTTCACATTTGAAATTTTGAAACTGATTTTTAATAACTTCAGAGTCATTTTAATTTCAGGACTATAAGTCTGTTCCATACAAATTAAAGATGTTAAAGGGTGCTGACGTTCATACATTTCACCTGAATCATAGACACACATGAAAGATATGTTGATGCTTTAGATCCCTTTCCTGTTTTTTGTGAAAACATGCAAATGATTTGTGCATTTTCCAGGAGATCCCATTCTACCAGGTGTGGAGCGGCAGTCAGAGAACCCTTCACTGCACCTTCACCCTGGAGAGACTGAGCTCAGCCACCACAGAGATCAGCTGCAAACTGTGTGTGCGGCAGGTGGAAGGAGAAGGACAGATCTTTCAGCTCAGCAACACTCTGGAGGAGGTGAGATTGTAGAAATTAGCACGAGCATAACAGAAACAAGACGCTGTTCGTCTGAACGTTTTGCAACCGATTTTAAAAGCATGGGAGACCACAGACAAAATGACAAATGTAATTTTTAATCGTATAATCTTCAGAACGCACACACTGGATGATTTAACCAGAACATCAGCGAACACTCAGCGTTTGTAGGAAACGATTTCACAGTGGCAATTTCCAGAGACTCTCTCTCTCGAGAATCAAACATATTTGATATTTATGATTCGAGATTGGGGAGGCTCTAACTCAGTCGATATTTTGTAAACCCCTCACACTTCAAGACTATTTTAGCAGATAATTGGCACAGAGTGACCTCCAGTCCGAACCCCCCCGTGATTTTCAGAAGGGGCAAATCAGGTCTAAAATCACCCTGATTATCCTCAAGTGTGCAGCTGCCTTAAGAGAACACTGCGGATAATCTCCCACTGGTTGAATGCAAGATGAAATACACGCGGAACAGAAATGTGCTCAGAAAGAAAGCTTCCTTCTACATTCCCTGAACTAACTTCTACATTCCTGCAGTTAAGGTCCTGAAGTCTCTAAGTTTCTCTCTGCCAGACACTCAGGGTTCCTGCTGTGGTTCTGTGACTGTGTTCAATCATTCATTCTGGGGCAGGAGGTCACACAACACGCGAGGAATAACTCGTCTTTGATTCTGCCAGGCCATGTAACCACTGAGTCACAAATGAATGTGTGTGTGTGTGTGTTTGTCTGTGTCCATGTGTGAACAGTTATGGTCGAAGGTCAGACATTTCTTTTGGAATGTCACTGCTTTGAATTCTCCAGTGGTGTTCATGGGTGATCGTGCTGCACTTTAGAATTTTTTAACCCTTGGTTAACCAGGTAAGCTCACAAAGAGGGACAGATTATTTTTACAGTGTTGCAGTGGTAGGTTACACATATTTTCTGTCTTCAGCACTGGTCACTGGGCAAAATAGGAATGAAAGTCAAGGTTGGTAATCTCGAAAAAACTGTATGTAGGGGAGGTTAAGTTGCTGCTTGTCAGAGTTGTCCAGTAATTTCAAGGTTCCTCCACTTAACGTGACTTTTACACACTGAATTTGTGCTCATGTTTTTTGCCACCAAGTCTAGTGAAGGCTTGATAACTCAAAGACACATGCAGTTAAAGAAGTTGTTGGGATTTGCTTCTGTGACTTTTCTCTGCAGCAAATAATCAAATTCTACTCTGCTGACATCACAGTTCATAACATCAAATATTTTGTAATGTGATCATTTGACATCATACATAACATATTACAAAATAATCACGATGACCACGTTTGGTATTTTAGAGCTGATTAGCTGAAACAACACTGTAAATCTTTTTGTGTAGCCAGTAAAATGAAAATATATTGTAGACCTCCAACCAGCCAGCAGAGTTGTAGTAGTTGTTAAACAATTTAAGTAAAGAAGATTAAGAGCATTTATTATTTCTGCCGAGAAACAGATGTCCCTTTGCATCCGTCGCTCCCTCTTCCCGCAGCAGAGCTTTGGGCTGTAAATTGGGGCTAAGTAGATGCAGTAAATAGTAATCATTCACATCAGCGGTGGCAGTTGTTGTTTCCTTCTGCCAAGTCACATTCATTAGAGCGATGCCTCCTTTCAGCCCAGGAGTGGCAGATTAATGGGATGAAGGTTTAGAAAGGGACAGAGATCGACAGAGAGTGGCGTGACAGAGAGTGGTGGAGAGAGAGCAGGTCTTTGTGTTTGTTTCATTTCCATCATCAATCAGGAGATTCATCTGTAATTGGTCAAACACCAGAGATGCCACATAGACACCAGCAGGATATTTGTGAGAGGGAATAAGATAGAGATGTAGCTGTAATAGCAACATGATGAATTTAACTTTCTAATATTGCATTTCATATAAAGCTTGACGGGTTTCTCTCTGTCTTTCCAGGAGCTCCAGTGCATAGACACGTCCCTGATGGACCCTGCCAGTAATATCACAACCTTAGTGGGGCCTAATGCCTTCCGCATTCCTTTATCCATCAGACAGAAGCTGTGCGGCAGTCTGGACGCACCGCAGACCAGAGGCAACGACTGGAGGATGCTGGCCCACAAACTTAACCTTGCCAGGTGAGACGCACATTAACACACGTATGCACACACACATACACACACGTGCACATGTAGATTTAGGTCCCCACAACCTGAGCAATACCTTACCCTAACCCTTAACCCTAACCTAACCCACACATACATTTTGCGTGTGTGTTTTTGTCAACTTGAACCTGATACTTTATATACAACATTTTTATGATACACACTCAGATCATCAAGGTTGTCGAATCGGAAAAACTGAGTCTATCTCTTGATTAATTCAAATGTGCCGTGAGTCCTGGGAGTTTATATCAGATTGAAACTATGTCGCTTTCTTATTACCTTGAATTAAATACCATACTGCCGTACTCCAATGCACCTACATAGTAAAGATGCTATTTTCTTTTTGCATCATATTCATTACATCCTTAGGATCACTATCTGCAGGTGTGTGTGTGTCGATGAGTCAGACCAGAGCTTCATTTACCTGCAGCTCCAGAAGCAGAGGCAGACATGGAGAGGATAATTGGACACAAGTGCACCTAATTGTCCCGATTGGCAGCCGGCTCATGACGCCGTCTGTTAACGTGGGCACCAAATATTCCCGATCAGTGAGTGAATAATGGTCGGCGAGCCAAATTGTTGTTTACGTCCACGTTTCTGCTAAAAGCTGCTCTCTTCTTTTATGCTCTCCGCTCCTGTAACTGCCACAGTGTGTTGGTTTGACTTGAGTGTGAGTCATGCTTTGTCGTCATCATTCGTCACATAATGTTGGACGGACAGACGGACACGGACACACACACACACACACACACACACACACACACACACAGGGAAAGGTGGATCTGAGCTGAGTTCACATCTGAGTTCACATAACACTCCTTAATCACACACAACAGGCAGATGGAGTCTTAGACAGAAAGGGAGAAAGAGGCAACAGAAGTATTGAAAATGGTTCCATGTTTTGAGTGAGAGACAGAAACATGAAAAAAAGAGAAACACTTGCACAAGGAAAAACCGACAACTCACGAAGGAGCAGAGGAGCCTCATACATGTCTGTGGTTGTGTTTAAACAGCACCACAGTGTGCCAACAGCACAATCACAGGATTTACACAGGAACACAAAGTTCTTTATTTTCTTTATTCCGACGGGACTGAAATTTGATGGTTTTTCCACTTTAAAGCAGCGTGGAGATCTTTGCCACAGATGGCTCATCGTTCGACTTCTCTGCCACCATTGTGTACTTGACTCTTGATGGCTGTAATTCAAACCAATACTCTAAAACCAGTTTTCTCTGTGGATTTTTAAGCTCTGCTGAGATTTCAAAATATATATTTTTTCTTATTTGTTTAAAGCAGTTTGAAAGGATGATGCTGCATGATGGAAAAAAAAAAGAGGTTGCCTGCCACATTTCATAAAGTCCTTAACTCATTACATTTTATATCTTGTGGTATTTAGGATCTAATCAAATCTGGTGCTTATGTTACTTTTTAGATTTTTTGAAAAACATACCCGTTACATATTAGCATGTGCTAATATACATTTCTTCTATTCTATAGATGTATTTGGAAATATAATGTTTGTCCTTTTTATAAGAGCGGTTGTTGCAGCCTGTAGCTTAATTCCAACGTCAGACTTTTATGCCTTTAAAAATTCCACGACTGAAACATTGTGAATTTCTAAAGCTGCTTTCAGACTTGCACTGAACTCTGAATAATCTCCTGACATTCTCCATATGTGAGAACGCTAATGTCTGAGTCCTGTGTTTTAGATGTGCATATTATTACCTTATTAACCGTGTTTTGTCTCACATCCTCCTCCTGATTTTCTCCAGGTACCTGAACTACTTTGCCACCAAGTCCAGTCCGACAGGTGTGATCCTGGATCTGTGGGAGGCCCAGCACTTCCCAGACGGAGACCTAAATGAACTGGCTGCCGTGCTGGAGGAGATGGGTCGCCATGACGGCAACTTTGCCTCCATGACAATGGAACATTGACAAAGCAAAGTGGTTGCCAAGACAGTGACAGAACGCTGAAGAAGATTTACTTGTGAATTCTCTACGGTTGATGCTGCAGCAAGGGCAATGGACGACTTTGACGTGAGCAAAAGGAAAAAGTTGTTGCCACGGTGACTGAGCACCAGTGAAATACCACGGTAATCATGCTGACATGGTAACAGACAGGATGAAAGCAGGGCTGGAACTATGTGCAAATCTTTACATTTGTGTTTGTGCAATGTTGCAGCTTCATGTGTGACCGAAGGAGAACCCGACCTACCACACACACACAGTCTATCAGGAACAAACAATACACACACACGCCTAAAAAAAAGACCTTGTCTTGTGTAACGCCAGTTGTTCTCTTGCTGTTATTTTATACTGAACAAAGACGAGCAGAGAAAAAAAAAAAAATCAACTGAGGCACTGACCTTGAAAAAACCCTCTATTGAAAGGAACAGAATCATGAAGAGAGAACTGATTACAGAAGATTGGGGGAAAGGTAGATTGAGGTAAGAGAGAGAGTGAGTAAGAGACTCTTTATTAAGATGAGAGAAGCTAAACTGATTACAAAAGGACAGGAAGATGTAAACATAGAATGATGGAGGGAGCAGCAGGTGATCATCAGAGAGAACAGGAAAAGAGATAATGAGAGAGGAGATAAAGAAGTGATCTGACTCCTCTCCTGTTGGCTGTACGTGTTTGCCAGTACAGTTTGTTGTCTTTATATCGTTTCCTAGGGAACGCTCTATGTATTCTGCTGTCCATATGTGTGGATCATTACCTGCAAACAGAATTTGCTCCGCGGTGACGTGACTTGTCAATCAAGGGTCCTGACCAGAAACAAGCCGGAGACACAGTTAATTTAAATTAAATCATCCATGTTGGTAAAAGGCAGCACAGCTTGCTACTCTCTTGCCTTTTCACTTGTACATCTAACTTTCATAAAAAAGGAGTCAGTCCAAAGATGATTACACTCCTGATGAATGCAAGTAAAAGTTATGTTTGCCATTTTATAATTTTAGCTTTGTCACACGGTCATAAATTTGTCTGTTGTGAGGTTTATTTTAGATCACACTTGTAAATGCAGCTATTTATTATATTTATGAACATTATACTGCAGCACAGTATACAGTCCACAAATATTTTTATTTCATTGTTATTTTATATGTTTGTTTTTAAGGAGTCAGCATTGACTACATTTTACGAATATATATTATTATTTTTTTGTTCAAGAAAACTAGTTTTCCTGAACAAAAATAAATAAATCTCTGCACTTCTTCTACTTCATCAAAATAATTTATATAAACTGAAACAATGATCTTCTTGCTGCATCTCAGACTAAAATAGTATTAACATGCACTCTGCAGTGACACTGCTGATGTGGATGAGTTTGCTAATGCAGGTCGGGGGATTCCAGCCATCGATACCACATTTGCTTAACTTTTACTCCCGGAGTCTGTCTGATGAACTGTTGGGGCTCGTTTCTGGTCGGGATCCAACTCAGAGGAAAAAGGGAGGAGAAGCAAAAAGGGACGAACCAGACACGTGTTTCTAAATACAGTAATATAGCATAGTATTGTGGGATAGTGAACCAATCATTCATTACCGCTTAATGTACCCAAATATACTGATTTTATCATTTTCATTCCCTTAAAAATATATGTATAGTCTACATATATATATATATTTCCAGTGTCCTATCATCACAGAATGTCAGTCTGCCATCAGCACCACCATGACTTTGCTGGTCACTAGCACCACCCAGTGGCCTTTGAGGAAAAACAAGCATTTACTTTTCTTTTTTTTTGATCGTCTGAAACGTGTAAATACATGATTATCATGTTCATCCTAATGACCTTGTATTACCATAGTATGTTTTTTTCTGTGATTATTATGTTATTTACATTCATTATCCTTTTGTCATTTTAATGTGTTTTTTTATAGATGTGAACTGTGTGAGGGAAAAATCTGTAACATATCAGTTAGTTGCTCTTTTTCTCAAATGTTCTGTCAGCAACTAACATTCCAAGTCATTGTGTATTTGTTTCAATCAGAACTTAAAAAATCTAATAACGACAAAGGGGGGGCCTATGTACAATGGAGTGTAATATATTTGTACTTTGCAGAACTACATTGTGAACCAAGGCTGCCACTGACCCCGGACAATAATGCCTGATGAAAAGGTGTCACTCCAGTAAAAAGGAAAAACAGCCTTATCTCAGTGGCTTTTTAATCATCGTGTGATGCCCCTGTGGACTTGAACTCTATTCACCACGTTAAGGACGACGGGAACATTTGGTTCAAAAGAAATATGTGTGAAATGTTTCAGAAAAAGGGAGTTTAGATATTCTACGGAGAGACGCCATATGAAACTGAACATCAGGTATGTAGAGGAGATACTGAGGAGGATCTTGTGGAGAAAACCAAGTAGGTAGAGGATCCATTAACACTGGTGCAAAAGGTCAGATCTTTACCTGGTTATGACACATTTCATCCATTCACGCCGGAGGAGGAAACCTTGAGACATTGATTTTTTTTTCTTTTTTCTTTCACATCGATTTTTCTTCCTTTGTTTAGTTGCTTAGAAATGTGCTTGGAGGTAAGAATCAGACTAGTTTTACCAGGCACAGTGTTGGGATTGCGGACAGCCTCATGAACCAAATTAGAAAAAAGAGTGTGGTTAAATAATGGAGTGGATGTTTTGTGTGTTTTCAAATGTAACTGCTGATGTTGTGGAAATCAAAGGTAAGAGTTGTGTGAGTTTTATGAGGATAAAAAGCCTAAAAACATCAACCCATCAATTCAAGTTTGTTTAGCAGCGAAAAAAAAAAAAACATGAACCCAAAGGTAATCGCAGTGTTGCTTTCATCGTCAACATCCCCGATTAACTCGAAAGGCAGAAGTCACAGTCATGAGATCGAATTTTTCACTGAGGAAACATGTTCAAGGAAACGACCGATTAAGGGAAGTTTGATCTCTGCCGCATTGAAAGAGTTTTCCCGTGAGAAGAGAATGTGTGGGCCTCCTGAAGGTGATCCACCATGATGTGAAAACTAAGAAAGTAGTGTTAAGATATCAAACTATGTACAAATATTTTCTATCCACAGTATGTACAGTTGTGTACTGTCCGCTATATTTGGCAAACTTCAGAATATAAAAAAAGCAGTACAGTTAGATACTAGTTTGTATGTTTTTATTTAAGTTTCTTTCCTTTTTTGTAAGAGTGTGTCTACTATGCAAACTTGGCATTGGTTATCATGATAGAAGTCTATAACTAGAGCTGTTCTTGTAAGTGCATCTTTATTTTACTATCAGGAGTGATTTTTTTATTTGATTAGTTTGGGGTAGTGTTGGTCCTTTTTAGCTAATTCTGGCACGCTTCATGAATCTTGCTCAGTTTGCTGAATGCTTGCCTCTCTATCTCCTCAAATTGTTTTCTGTACAAAGTGTAAGAAAGAATTTTTAAAACAATTAATAAATTATATTTATAAGCAATGCTGAAACTGGGTCGTGCCTTTGGTGGATTCTTTCAACACATTTCAGGGAACTGTGTAGCTGGAGGCATCATGTCCATCCGTTCATCCCACTCTTGTGAACACGGTATCTCAAGAACCCCTTGAGGGAATTTCATCAAATTTCATACAAACGCTCACCCGGACTCAAAGATGGACTGATTTGATTTTGGTGGTCAAAGGTCAAGGTTTTTTGCCTTGTGAACACAATATTTTGAGAACGCCTCAAAAGAATCCTTTAAATTTTTTCTTGAAGGTTCGCTAAGACTTGCAAATTAACTGATTGGATTTAGGTGATCAGAGGTCAAGATTACATTGTCCTCACAATGTATGTTTGACCTCTTGAGCATCATATGTCAAGTCTGGGAATTTCTTCAAATTTCGACCAGTTGTCATCAAAGATGAACTGATTAGAGTTCAAAGGTCAAAGGTCATGGTGAACTCATATTGTTGTGAAGACAATAAACCAGGAAACTGCACTGGTCGGCGAGTCATACAATCACATTGAGATAATTCTAGTTTTATAGATGCATTTCTCACATCTTGTAGAATAACAGCATACAATGTAAGAGAAATCCAGGTGTAGATCAGGAATATACAATCTACATTTGGTTTGTGAAACTTTGATTTGATCCACTTGTTTCTGTGAAATCATATTTTCAGGCTCAGAACTCAATAAGTAGTTAGATGAAGAAGCCTGAAGGGAGGGAAATTGAAAGAGAAAATCCTTCTGGCGTCTCTGTTTAACATGCTGTGTGCTCAGCAGCACTGGTGGATTGTAATGAGGCATGCCACTCTTTTTTTTTACCAAAGGAAATATGGAGCGCACGCCTTAACTGTAAGAGACGCTGCTGAGTGACTCGTTAGTATGCACCTCGTTCAGCCACCACAAACTGTGCATCAGCCATGAGGATGAGTGAAACACTTTATTGTGGGAATGTTCAACCTTTTTTTCACTGAATAAAAACACCACTTTCTCTCACAGACAACTACAGTAGGTACAGATTAAATAATGCACAACACCCGAGAGGAAAGAAAGGGCATTTATATCACAAAAAATCCGTCACACACAATCCTCCAATGGTGACGAGCACAACATGATTTCAGTCAGCTGAGGCCAAGAAAGGAAATGCATTGACGTCTCAAAGGAAGTTTCCCGAGGATTTTACAAATGGACGGCAAACTGTGAGGTGCTGCTTTTTAAGGGACGTCTGGAATATAACAGTCTGTTGAGTAATGAAAGGTGTCCAGATTTATCTCTACCACTGGTCAATATAGAGGCTGTAAGGCCGGTTAAACTTCCCGCCTGCTGCAAATATAGCTGCTTTCAGACACACTTAAATCCAAACATTTTCCTGAAATTTTCCAGAGGGGCTGTATGTGAGATCACAAATGTCCAAATCTGTTGCTCCAGATATTTTACGGACCTTTCCCTGCCAGCCCTCTGGTAAAATGTCCAGAAAACGTAGCGTCATATTTTGTCTCCTGCATGCTCTACCCAGATGCTGGCCCTCATCTGAAAGTTCCGGACTATTCCTCTTGTTGTGAACGCGTCTGACTCAGACAATCTCCTGCCGCGTTCTTGTGAAAGGCAATCTTAGGAAAATGTCCAGACCCAATTTTCCAGACATTTTCCTGAGTTCATTTCTGAAAACTGCTTCAGTGAGAATTTGATTTAATGGAGAAACTCCAAGAAAATCTAGTGATCGATTTTTTGACTGACTCAAGTTCCTTTTGACTTCATCTGAAAATGTTTTATTATGGGGAATTGGTTTCACATGAGCTTTAATGTACGTGAATGAGGCCCTCTGGTGGTCAGGACAATTCTGATTGGGGGGGTTGTTTTACGACAGCTTGGTGGGTTTTATTTTAGGACCAGTTCGTTTTTCAATCAATAAACAATGACATGTGCTTAACTGTTATATCTTAAGTGAAGGCTTCCTCTCCATGTGCCTTAAATCCACTCAGCCTTGTTATCAGATTGGAAATGACTGAATGATAGCGATTCTTATGATAAACAGATTGTGGTAGCCCTAAACTAACACAGTCACAATTCCACACATTTATAATCGATCACTACTACTACACCAATAGGTGGCACTGTTCTGCTTCTCTCAATCACACGCGACGCCTGCTGTCCTCACTTCACGTCGATTTGAGGGCAAGGAAACACAGAGGCCAGCAGAGCCTCGATCCACAACTTATTTGGACATATACATTTTATTTTTTTTTCCACATAAAGTCTTGAAGAGTTTGAGTTTTACATGAAAAATACACTTTTTTAACAACTTTCATAGACCATCACAAATACAGGTATAGCTTTTCTTCAGTGTCTACAAACGGTACCAGCGTTAACAAAACTTTTAAAGCCTTAAAATACCTTTTTTTTCTGTCATACTGTGTCAGTTATTTTAACAAAAAGCTGTCAATTAAAGAGTGACAAATGTGTTTTACTCCAATTATAAATCCTGGAGCGGGGTGAGTGTTTTGAAAGGAGGTGTGGTGCTGCAGTAACAGGTTGCCTTTAATTACATCCCTTCAGTTCTGTCAATCAGACCTTCATCTACAGGTAGGGTAGCTTTCACAGAAAGCAGTGATATATTATTCCACTCGCTGGTCAGTAGCCTGGTGTTTGCCTATCTCTGCAGCTACAGTGCCAAGTCAAACGTTTTCTCCAAGGCCTTCAGAGCATGTGAACAGGAGCCTATAGCAGGAGTCCTCACTAGTGTGAAATGAGATTGTCTCGTCTCCTCTGATGGATGGAACAGGGCCATGTGAGACGTGATTGTTTTCATACCCTCTGTTGTCCTGTAATCTTTGTATTTATATATTTTTTAATGGGACTTGTGTTGCAGGGTTCTGGGCTTCTGGACTCAAAGTCTGTGATCCTTCGATCTCCAAAGTGACCTTCTTGATTCCTGTTCTGCCTCCGTTTCCCAGAAACCAAAAAATATGAAAGTTTGTGCGGCCTGTGCCAGTGTGATTGTTAGTGCCCTTTCTATGTGTGTAAACACACACCTGGCAGCGGCTGCTCACAGCTTGATATCCTGTGACTCTGACATCTTGGCAAGTGTCTTTTTGACCCGCAGCGCTGTGAGGCGGGAGGCCGGGTTGTGGGCCCAGCTTTCTGTCATCAGCTTCCCCATCTGTCTCAAACACTGCAGAGATACAGATTCATGTTACCAAGGTTATATATTTGTGCATTAGTGCATGAATACATTGACATATTTACCTCCTCCAAGGAAGTTATGTTTGGCCCCTGTGGTTGGTTTGTTTGTTAGTTAGTCAGCAGGATTACGCAAATGTGACTCAACGAATTTCCATGAAACTTGGTGGAGGGATGGGACATAGGCCGAGAAACTTTGGCACGGATCATTAATATTATGATATTTAATATAATTTTCACCAATACCCTTGAGAAAAACTAATGAATCTTAATTTTTGTTAAATCGTACAAATGTATGAGACTGATATTTACCAGTGTGTGTAATTTGGTGCAGCTTGAATACATTTAAGGGAACTGTCAGGCCTTGGAGGAGGTATGTAGTGAGTGTAGATTATTTTACCTCATCGCTGGTCCATCGGTTAGGAAAGGATGGTCGTAGTCTCTTGATGCAGACCACCTCCCTCATGTCTTCATATGAAGGGTCGGTAGGAACTAACTCATGGTACGGCAACTGGTACTCCTCAAGGATCCCTACAATGAGAGAGTTCCAAAAAAACCCCAAATATTGTTTTAAAAATCCATACTGCATTCCAATCTGACATGTATTTTCTTTGGTTTCTGTGAAAGGAGGAAAGCATAAAATGTTCACTGCACTGACCTCCTGAGACACAACGGCGAGCAATCTCCCAGAGAATGAGCCCAAAGCTGTACATGTCAGCCATGATGTACGACTGAAAATGACTTCTGTTCAAAGTCTCGTCCAGAACCTCTGGAGGCATGTAGCGCTTTGTGCCGACTCTGGTGTTGGGAGGGATGTCTACCTCATTGGTGTCACTGCAAAGTCAGAGATGAAAGAAACCATTTTAAATTAAAGACCAATTAACTGTGAACATTACTGAAGCCTCTGAAATAATATTAGTTTTAAGTACTAAAGTTTCTCACTAGATAATCAAAGACTGAAGTGGAATTTTCTTTGAAATCATGCGAAATAGCTGTACAAGTCCCCAACACACTCACCTGATGAACTTGACCGCCAATCCCAGATCAGCTATACAGCAGGTCCCGTTTCTTTTCACCAGTATGTTCTTACTCTTCAGATCCCTGTGAGCGATGGCAGGTTTTCCCTTGGTGCCGAAGATCTCCGTGTGGAGGTGACACAGTCCCGATACAGATGAGTAGGCCAGTCGCAGCATGGCTTTGTTGTCGAGGGTGGTGGATTTGAGGTAGTCGTACAAAGAGCCGTTTTCGTGGTAGTCTGTGATCAGGTAGAGCTGGGTCCAGGAGCCGGTTCCTTTAATGTCTGCGGCTATAAAACCTGCGAATGGGATTGGTGGGGAGAGATAAAGTAAACTAATATATATATATACATATATATAAACTTGCCTTTTAGCTTGTGTTTGATGCTGTTAAATAAACCTACCCCATCTCATGTTTGATTCTAATTTATAATAGAATGTTTTTCAAAGGGATACTATTGAGATAATGTATATTATGATTTGGTGCTATACAAATAATATTGAATTGAATTGAAATGTCATGGCCTATGAGCTAAACTGTGGTTAGTTTAATAATATTTTTTTTATTCTATTCATGGGAGCTCTTACTATGGTTAAGTTTTGGAGGAGGTCATTCCAATATTGTTGTAGGAAATTACTTTTGAAACAAACTGGTCTGAAATTATGTATAGGGTTATTTTGTTTACACGACAAAAATGTCCAAACAAATGTGAAGATATTTTAGTTAAAGAACTGAACATAATGTAATTTGAAGCACAACTGCTATCGTGTGACAGTTTGAACTACAATGTTTCTCACTTGCTTACAGATGCTGATACAGCATTTAACAAATGGTGCTTTACAAATTGAGACTCATGTTTATGAGACTTTAAAATTAGTTTTAAGTTAATTTAATACAATTAGATACAAAGTATTTTTAAGAATATTAACATATTATAAAACAACACATGATTTTGCAGTGTAATCTTTTTAGGAAGCCGCAACATGAACTCACAATGAATATGAATACATTTAAAATACAGTACAACAGTGTGCACAGCAGCATCTAGTCCGCTTCTAGTTTACTTGCAGGTGATCTTTGGCCCAGTCCGTGATTATTATGCATCTTGTGGTGTTTAATTATTCAAGCATCAGTTCACAGTTTGTTGTTGTGCACTTTTTAATTTGCTGTGGTACATAAATTAGGATTGTTAATGATAACTGCTCATGTATCAGAAGAGCACAAAAACATAAAAAGTAAAGCAAAATAATTAAAATGGTGGTGACTACAGAGAAAACGAAGAAAACGTACCCAGTATGTTCTCGTGTCTCATTAAGACAGTCTGGTAGATTTCAGTCTCTCTGAACCAACTGGCCTCTTCAGTGGTGAAAAAAACTTTCACAGCCACTTTCTCTCCCCTCCACCTGCCCATCCACACCTCTCCATACCTCCCCTTGCCGATCTGCTTCACCATCTGAATCTGCTTGGCTATTGTTCTTTGGACCTAAGGAGGAGAAAAAGGTGGGAACACATAGGGGTGAATAATATTTTGTGCTTGTGAAATATGTTGTACAAAGCATTTTGTGAGAATGTAAAAAAGTTTTGTAGCTGTAGAATTTTTGTTAACATATGTAAAATTTTGTAGCATTATAAATATTTTGTACATGGGTAAATTAAGTTTTGTAGCAATAGAGATATGTTGTACGCATTTAAAAAAAAAAGTAGGAATATTGTATATATTTGTAAAAACGTTTTGTTGCTGAAGAAATATTTTGTACATGCGCTACAACATGTACAAAAGCTTTGTAGCAGAGGATGTATTTTGTGTAAGTGAAAAAAAAAGGTTTTGCAGCAGTAGAAATTTTGTGTGCATCTGTAAAAAAGTTTTGTTGCAGTAGAAATATTTTATGTACATGTTCTTAAAATTTGTGCATAAATCTTTTCAACAGTGACGTTTCACAAAGTGAAACCTCAAATTCCCTGAAGTTACAAGCTAAAAACACAGACACATTTCTGACCCTGTCTTCGCTCTTGAGCTGACTTGCCAATCAGCACATTACCCAATTCAGACAAAGTCAAACTGTCCTGTTAGGGCAAAAGAAGAGCCCCGGTACCTTGGACCCTTCCAGGTGTCTGCTAACTGCTAACTTTGCCTAGCCACACACAACCAGAAGGACAGCAACTCAACATTACATCACAAGCAGCTAATTTGATCCTGTAGAGATGTGGTTTAGTGTGATATAAGGTCCTGTTTAAGATGGATATTGGAGCTGGCCAACAAAAAAATAGTTTTGACTCTTTCTTGGCACAGTAGCTTTTAGCAATATTTCTCTTTTCTTGTAAGTACAACATTCAAAATGCTCATCTTAGTACATGGGATAAAAACCGAACCAGTAGTGATACCATGGTGTGTGTATATGTATTGTGTATCCATGGAATGTCTTTTGGCGCTTAGCTGCAATGCAGGTATCTCACCAATAGAGGGAGGCCTGAGCCCGAGCCAGAGCTTTGAGACTGCTCTATCAGGTCCTTCAGAGATTCTCCGGGGGGAATGTAGGTCTCATCCTGCTCCAGACCAATGCTGTAGCGAGGACGAGACTCCTGACGCTTATACCTGCAAGACAGCATCATTCAGAACACCTTCCTATAAAAGCATTAACAGTGTATTACATTGTGTAATAGAATGAACTGGTCCCCAAAGATTGATGCTGTAAACTCTGTTAAATATGTATAAATACCTGAAGTAGCAGAAGACAATAATGACGCCCAATATGATGCTGCAAACAGTGACTGAGATCAACAATGCCATGTGGTGGATCTTTCCGTCAACATAGACTGGAGAGGGGTGGATAAAGAGAGGGGAAAGAGAGGGGTGGATACAGAGAGGGGAAAGAGAGGGGTGAGAAAATACACATGGAACAGAGGAGAAGAAGACATTACAAATAAAATCCTGCTTTCCCTGTTTTCCAACACTATAATGTGATAAATGTGCGACAACTGGCTATTTTCAAGAAAAATGCACGGGATCAGTTTCTGCTCAAAAAACATGCGCTGAAACAAAGAAAAAAATGTTTTATATCAAAACCTCCAAAATCCCTGGTGAGGTAATGGGAATATCATATAAAGAAATCAGTCATCCTCACAAGTTACCTAAAGAAGCACCGTACAGTAAATCAAGTACAAATCATATTTCACTCATCAATTTTTCATTTTCTTCTGGCACACTTTCGTCTCCCTCAAGGCCCCAGTCGACGGTGAGAAGAAGCCCAAAGCCTAGTCGATGAATTCTCTTCCTGATCCCCTATGATAGGGTTTCAGATTGATGACTCTGCCCTCAGTGCCTGCTGAGGCTTGTGATTTCCCTGGGAATCTAGGCTTACTATCTCTCAAATACACAAAAAAAAACTCGCGCACATGGAGTATAGTGTTGTACACAGCGGAGAGCTCAGTATTCTCTTGACACAGAGTAGCCTTGGTGAGCTCGATGCAGCAGTTTGACAGTAACTCCCTGTCTCCTCCATGTCAGAGGTCTTTGACTCTGACATTGTCACCATATCGCCACATCTGAATCCTGTGTCCCGTAACACCATCGGTCACAGTTCTTGGCCCTTGTCTATATCGCTGTCGCTGCCACGCTGTCACTGTCACGCTGTCACTGTCACCTGCTAGCTAGAGGACAGGCGGCTCTTTAAAAATCGCTCTAGAGTTTCATTGGTTTGCGAAGGGATGAGAGTAGATAAACTTACGAGGAGGCTTGAGCGGTGGCAGAGTAGGATGCAGGTTTCTGTTGCAGTAATCTTGGTCTGTGCAGCACTCCAGGGATCTCCTCTGACGTGCGTTCCATGTGTCCTGGAAGAATGAGACGGTATTTTCATTAATGGCTGAAAAAGTTATTGATCAGTTGATTGGCCGCTATGATCGACAAGTTATAAAATATTCAAATGCCCAAACATTAGATGATTGCACGTCTTAGTATTGATATAAATCACTGAAGGTCTTCCTTACTTTTTCACTA